AAAAAACCCCCAAAAAACCCCAAAATCCCTCCCCAAAAAACCCCCGACCCCAAAATCCCCCAATTCTGACTCCAAATTTCTCCGTCCAGAGAAAATCCAAAATTTCGGCGTCTCGCAAGCTCCAGCTGAAGGTGAGGAGGGGGTCCCCAAAATTTGGGGGTGTCGGGGTGGAGTCCCCAAAATTTGGAGGGGGTCTTTTGGGGGTGCCCATGAGAGTCCTGGGGGTGTCCCCAAATTTTTGGGGGGTGTCCCTCAGAAAAAACTCTTAAAATTTAAATTTTCCAGCTACATCTGAGGGGTTTGTCCCCAAATTTTGGGGTTTGCCCCTGATTTTGGGGGTGCCCATGAGGGTCCTGGGGGTGCCCCCAAATTTCGGGGGCTGTCCCCAAAATGTCCCCCCAGACGCTGCTGCTGCAGAGGGCGAAGCGGGAGCTGGAGAAGGAGGAGCAGGAGAGGGCGGCCGAGAAAATTCGGGTGCTGGGGGAGCTGTGCCCACCCCTGGCCACGGAGGGCATGGGGGTGACGGAGCTGCAGGTGAGGGCACGGCGGGGGGACACCGAGGGGGAAATGGGGGAAATGTGAGGGGAAAATGGGGGAAAATGTGAGGGGAAAAGGGTGGGAAACCTGAGGGGAAAATGGCGGTGAACCTGAGGGGAGAATGGGGTGGGAAACCTGAGGGGGAAATGGAGGAAATGTGAGGGGAAAACGGGGAAAAATGTGAGGGGGAAATGGGGGAAAACGTGAGGGGAAATGAGGGAAATGTGAGGAGAAAATGGGGAAAAATGTGAGGGGGAAATATGAGGGGAAAATGGCGGCAAATGTGAGGGGAGAAAAGGGCGGGAAACGTGAGGGGAAAATGGAGGGAACGTGAGGGGAAAATGGCGGGGAAGGTGAGGGGAAAAAGCGGCAAATGTGAGGGAAAAAGGGCTGGGGGTGACAGAGCTGCAGGTGAGGGGACATTGGGGACATCGGGGACACCGGGATGTGAGGGGACACTGGGGATATGGGGACATTGAGGACTTGGGCACCCTGGGATATGGGGAGCCTTGGGGACACCGTAGGGACATCGCAGGGGACACGGGGGTGTGCCCCAGCTCTGGTGCCAGCGCTGTCCCCTCGGTGTCCCCTCGCTGTCCCCTGGGTGTCCCAGGAGCTGTGCCGGGAGCTGCACGCCCGCGTGGCGCGCGTGGACGAGGAGCGCTACGACATGGGGACGCGCGTCAGCAAGAACGTCACCGAGGTGGGGACAAGGGCACAGCCACCTCGGGGACAGCCCCAGGGAGGGGACAGCGCCACACATTGTTCCCAAGGTGGCCTTCCCACCTCTGCCGGGGGGGAACCTGTCCCCAATGTCCCCAACCCCTTGATGTCCCCACTGTCCTCAAATCCCCCCACAGTCCCCAATGTCCCCAAATTGCCCTGATGTCCCCAATCCCCCAAATGTCCACAATCCCCTCAATGTCCCCAGTGTCCCCAATGTCCTTGATGTCCCCAGTCCCCTCAATGCCCCCAATCCCCTCAACGTCCCCAAATCCCCCTGATGTCCCAAATCCCCACAACGTCCCCAACATCCCCAATGTCCCCAATCCCCTCAGACCCCCCTAATGTCCCCAATGTCCCCAATCCCCTCAATGCCCCCAATGTCCCCAAATCCCCCTGATGTCCCCAATGTCCCCCAGTGCCCCCAATGCCCCCGATGTCCCCAGTGTCCCCAGTCCCCCTGATGTCCCCCCTGTCCCCAGCTGGAGGAGCTGCGGCGCCGGGTGGCCGCGGGCCGTTTTGTGCGGCCCAACCTGCGCCGCGTGCGGCTCTCGGCCGACGCCATGATGGCGGCGCTGCTGGGGACAAAGCCGCGCGTGGGCACCGACCTGAGGGCAGGGCTGCGCCAGGTGCGCAAGGACGACGCCGAGAAGGTGAGGGGACACTGGGGACATTGGGGATAATGGGGACATTGTGGGGGATTTGGGACACTGGGGACATTGGGGACATTGTGGGGATTTGGGACACTGGGGACACCGGGGGGGATTTGGGACAATGGGGATAATGGGGACATTGGGGTGATTTGGGACAATGGGGACAGTGGGGACAATGGGGACACCGGGGGGGATTTGGGACAATGGGGATTTGGGGACACTGGGGGGGATTTGGGACACTGGGGACATTGGGGACACTGGGGACACTGGGGTGATTTGGGACATTGGGGATAACTGGGACAGTGGAGGATTTGGGACACTGGGGACAGCGGGGACAGTGGGGACATTGTGGGGGATTTGGGACACTGGGGACAATGGGGACAATGGGGACAATGGGGACATTGGGGACAATGGGGACCTGGAGCCACCTGTTGTCATTTCTAGGGCTTTTTGGGGGTTTTAGTGGTGTTTTGGGATGCTTTTGGAGGTGGTTTTGGGGTATTTTTGAAGTGGGGTTTTTTTTGTGGTCTTGGGGGTAATTTTGGGGGTGGGCTTGGGGTATTTTTGTGGTGTTTTGGGGTATTTTTGCGGTATTTTGGGGGTATTTTTTGTTGTGGTTTTTGGGGGTGGTTTTGGGGTATTTTTAAGGTGTTTTGGGATGGTTTTATGGGAGTGTTTTTAGGGCCTTTTTGTGGTGTTTTTGGGGTATTTTTGAGGTGGTTTTGTGGTGTTTTCATGATGGTTTTGGGGTATTTTTAGGGGTGTTTTTGGGGTATTTTTGAGGTGGTTTTGTGGTGTTTTCATGATGGTTTTGGGGTATTTTTAGGGGTGTTTTTGGGGTATTTTTAGGGTTTTTGGGGGCTGTTTCTGGGTGTTTTCAGTGGCATTTTGGGGGTGGTTTTTGGGTATTTTTAGGTGTGTTTTTAGCAGTGCTTTGGGGGTTTTGAGGGGTATTTTTAGGAGGGATTTTGGGTGGGTTTTGTGGGGATTTTAGGGTTTTTTGGGGGGTGTTTTGGGGTAGTTTTGGGGGTGGATTTGGGGGATCTGGGGACACTGGGGACACTGTCCCAGGAGAGCTACGAGGTCGGGGACTGGCGCAAGAACGTGGACGCCATGAGCGGGATGGAGGGGCGCAAGAAGAAATTCGAGGGGGCGGCAGCCTGAGGGTGAGACCCCCACCAAAACCTCCCAAAAATCCCAGGATTCCACCCAAAATATCCCCAGGACCACCCCAAAAAAAACCTGGGATTTTCCCTCTCAAAAATCCCCCAGGATCCTTCCTCAAAAAATCCCGGGATTCCCCCGCAAAAATCCCCCAGGACCCTTCCCCAAAAAACCGCAGAATTTCCCAAAAAAATCCCCTGGGACCCTTCCCCAAAACCCTCAGAATTCTCCTCAAAAAAACCTGGGATTCCCCCTCAAAAAACCCCTGGGACCCCTCCCCAAAGACCCCCAGAATTTTCCTCAAAAAAACCCAGGATTCCCCCTCAAAAAACCCCTGGGACCCCTCCCCAAAAATCCTCAGAATTTTCCTCAAAAAAACTTGGATTCCCCCGCAAAAAACCCCTGGGACCCTTCCCCAAAAACCCCCAGAATTTTCCTCAAAAAAACCCAGGATTCCCCCTCAAAAAACCCCTGGGACCCCTCCCCAAAAACCCCCAGAATTTCTCCAAAAAACTCATTGGAATTCCCCCCCAAAAAACCCAGAATTGCCCCAAAACCCCCAGGGATTCCCCTTAAAAAAACTCAGGATTTTCCCCAAAAAACCCACCCAGGGAGCCCTCTTTTAAAACCCCGTGTTCCCCCCAAAAAACCCCAGGACCCCTTCCCAAATTCCCCAAATTACTGCAGGAGGAGCCCCCGTGGAGCCTCCCCTTCCATCATCATCACCTTCATCACCTTCATCACCACCTTCATCATCACCACGGGCACTGGCACGACCCCCCACCCCAAATAAACCCCCTCCCCGAATAAACTTCCCTTTCAGCATCAATTAACGGAGTCGTTGAGTGGTGATTGTTAATTAATGCAATTTGGGGGGGAAATCACGAAGGGATTTGGGGCGGCCATTTTGTCCCCTCACGTTTCCCGCCATTTTCTCCTCACATTTTCTCCTCACATTTCCCGCCCTTTTCTCTCCTCCCATTGGTCAGGAATTTGGGGGGGGGAACACGTCTCGACCAATGGCAGCGCCGCAACCATGGCAACGCCGCCATGCCGCCTGAGGGCAAGGCCGCCTCTGCCACAAGCTCCGCTTTTTCCCTCAGTACGCGGCGACACCGCTCCTAATTAACACCGCCAATTACCCGCGCGCCCGCCTTCCCCTCCCGCTAATTAGCGGCGCTCATTAAGGACCCGCCGCGGTCACAACACTCGGTCCTCCAGCGCCATAGAGCTGGCGGGCAGAGCGGCCCGCGCGCGCTTCCGGCGCGCACCGGAAGCGCCGCCTCTCTCCCACAACCCCCCGCGCGCTCCCTCTCCCGCCTCTCTCCAGCGCCGCCATCATGGTGGGTCCGGCCGCGCTCCCGAATCCGCCGCCATCCGCGGCCGGGAGCGCTCGGGGCGGGCTCGGATGAGCCCCGGGAGGCTCGGGGGGGGCTCGGGAGGGCTCGGGAGGGCGCGGCCGGCGGCGATGGCCCCCGCGGTGACCGCGCCCGGTGTCGCCTCAGGGCATCGACATCCGCCATGACAAGGACCGCAAGGTGCGGCGCAAGGAGCCCAAGAGCCAGGACATCTACCTGCGCCTGCTGGTCAAGGTGAGACCGGGATAACCCCGGAACCGGGCCGGGTTCTGCCCGGAGTCCCACCGGGACCGGGAACCCCCGGGACCGGGAGCTCGGCCCCGCTCCCCCCGGTTCCCCCCGGTTCTCTCCGGTTCCCTTCGCGCTGTTCCCGTGCCCGCGCCCCGCTTCTCCTTCCTTCTTCCCCATCTCCCCGGTTTTTGCCTGTTTTCCCCGGTTATTCCCGGTTTTCCCCGATTTTTCCTGGCTTTTCCCCGGTTATTCCCGGCGACCGGGAACCCCCGGGACCGGGAGCTCGGCGCCGCTTCCCCCGGTTCTCTCCGGTTCCCTTCGCGCTGTTCCCGTGCCCGCGCCCCGCTTCTCCTTCCTTCTTCCCCATCTCCCCGGTTTTTGCCTGTTTTCCCCGGTTATTCCCGGTTTTCCCCGATTTTTCCTGGCTTTTCCCTGATTTTCCCCCGGTTATTCCCGGTTTTTTCCCGACTTTCCGCCGTTTCTCCCCCGCTTTCTCGGTTTTTTTTACGATTTTCCCCACCTTGTCCCGCTTATCCCCGGGTTTTCCCCGATTTCCCCCGTTTTTCCCCAATTTCTCTCCATTTTCCTCCGTTTTTCCGGATTTCCCCCAGTTTTTTCCCGATTTCCCCTGTGTTTTCCTGGTTTTCCCTGGTTTTAATTGATTATTCCCGGCTTCCCCCCCAATTTTTCTCGGTTTTCCCCGATTTCCCCGGGGTTTTCCCGAGTTTCTCTCCATTTCCCTCGGTTTTTCCCAATTTCTCCTGGATTTCCTCAAGTTTTCCCTCTTTCCCCCGCTTATCCCCGTTTTTTCCCCCGATTTTTCCCTCTTTCCCCCCGTTGTTCCCGGTTTTTCCCGACTTCCCCTCGATTCCTTCCGGTTTTCCCGGTTTCCTTCGATTTTCCCCCGGTTTTTCCATGGGTTTTCCCCGAATTTCCCGATTTCTCTCGGGATTTCCCCCCGTCTTTCTCGATTTCTCCCCGTTTTTCCCAATGTTTTCCCCTGTTTTCCCCGATTTCCCCGGGGTTTTCCCGAGTTTCTCTCCATTTCCCTCGGTTTTTCCCGATTTCTCCTGAATTTCCTCAATTTTTCCCGATTTTCCGCGGTTTCTCCCCGTTTTTTCCCCCGATTTTTCCCTCTTTCCCCCCGTTGTTCCCGGTTTTTCCCGACTTCCCCTCGATTCCTTCCGGTTTTCCCGCTTTCCTTCGATTTTCCCCCGGTTTTCCCTTGGCTTTTCCCCGAATTTCCCGATTTCTCTCGGGATTTCCCCCGCTCCTTCTCGATTTCCCAATGTTTTCCCTCATTTTTCCCGTTTTCTCCCAATTTTTCCCCGATTTTCCCCGATTTTCCCTGGGTTTCCCCTGCTTTTTCCCAATTTCACCACGGTTTCCCCCAATCTCACCCATTTTTCCCCATTTCCCCCAATCTCATCTGGTTTTCCCCCATTTTTTTCCCAACCTCCCCATTTTTCCCCTGTTTTCACCCATTTTTTCCCTTTTCCCCCCGTTTTCTGCCCATTTCCCCCCCAATCTCACCTATTTTTTCCTGTTTTACCCTGTTTTGTCTCTTTTCCCCTGTTTTCTCCCCATTTCCCCCCAATCTCACAATTTTCTCCCATTTCCCCGTTTTCTTCCCATTTTCACCCATTTTTCCCCATTTTCCCTCGTTTTCTCCCCATTTTCCCCCAATCACACAACTTTTTTCTGTTTTCCTCCCACTTTTCCCCATTTCCCCCCCCAATCTCACCCATTTTTCCCGTTTTCCCCCCAATCTCCCCCATTTTCCCCCAATCTCCCGTTTTTTCCCCATTTTTCCCATTTTTCCCCATTTTTCCCCCATTTTTCCCCATTTTTCTCCATTTTTCCCTTTTTTTCACCGTTTTCCCCCATTTTTCCCCATTTTCCCCCCAATCTCCCCCATTTTTCCCCAATCTCACCCATTTTCCCCATTTTTTTCCCAATCTCCCCCATTTTTCTTTTTTGGGCTGTCTTTCCCTATTTTTTGGATTTATTTCCTCTCAGATTTTTATGTTTTCCCCATTTTTCCCCAGATCCGGATGATGCCCAAGCCGGGCCGGGCTGACACAGTTTGGGTCATTTCCTCACAGATTTTGGGTTATTTCCTCTCAGGTTTTGGGTTTATTTCATCCCAGATTTTTGGGTTTATTTCTCACAGATTTTGGGTTATTTCCTCACAGATTTTGGGCTGTTTTCCCCTGGTTTTTTGGATGTGTTTCTCCCAGGTTTTTGGGTGAATTTCTCACAGATTTGGGTTATTTTCCCCATTCCCAGATCCGGATGATGCGTGAGCCGGGCCGGGCTGACACAGTTTGAGTCATTTCCTCACTGATTTTGGGTTATTCCTCACAGATTTTGGGCCATTTCCTCAGTGATTTTTCAGCCATTTTCTCACGGATTTTTGAGCTGGTTTTTTGTATTTTTTGGGTTTATTTCTCACAGATTTTTGTTGTTTTCCCCAGATCCGGATGATGCGCAAGCCGGGCCGGGCTGACACATTTTGGGTCATTTCCTCACACATTTTTGGGTTATTCCTCACAGATTTTGGGCCATTTCCTCACTGATTTTTCAGCCATTTCCTCACAGATTTTGGGCTGTTTTTCCTTATTTTTTGGGTTTATTTCTGACAGATTTTTGTTATTTTCCCCAGATCCGGATGATGCGCAAGCCGGGGCGCGCTGACACAGTTTGGGTTATTTCTCACATGTTTTTGAGCTGTTTTTCCCTGTTTATTTGGATATATTTCCTCACAGATTTTTGGGTGAATTTCTCACAGATTTGGGATTTATTTCCTGACAGTTTTTGGGTTGTTTTCCCCAGATCCGGATGATGCGCAAGCCGGGGCGCGCTGACACAGTTTGGGTCATTTCCTCACACATTTTTGGGTTATTTCCTCACAGATTTTGGGCCATTTCCTCAGTGATTTTTCAGCCATTTTCTCACAGATTTTTCAGCCATTTTCTCACGGATTTTTGAGCTGTTTTTCCGTGGTTTTTGGGTAATTTCCTGACAGATTTTGGGTTGTTTTCCCCAGATCCGGATGATGCGCAAGCCGGGCCGGGCTGACACAGTTTGGGTCATTTCCTCACTGATTTTGGGTTATTCCTCACAGATTTTGGGCCATTTCCTCACAGATTTTTCAGCCATTTTCTCACGGATTTTTGAGCTGTTTTTCCGTGGTTTTTGGGTAATTTCCTGACAGATTTTCTGTTTTTTCCCCAGATCCGGATGATGCGCAAGCCGGGGCGCGCTGACACAGTTTGGGTCATTTCCTCACACATTTTTGGGTTTGGGGATGTTTTAAGGGGAATTTTGGGGGTGATGTAAGGGGCATTTTGGGGTGGTTTTAAGGGATTTTGGGGGGTGTTTTAAGGGATATTTTGGGGGTGTTTTAAGGGGAATTTTGGGGATATATTAAGGGAATTTTGGGGATGTTTTCAGGGATTTTTGGGGATGTTTTAAGGGATATTTTGGGTATATTTTGGGGATTTTTAAGGGAATTTTTGGGGATGTTTTAAGGGATATTTGGGGATGTTTTAAGGGATATTTTGGGTATATTTTGGGGATTTTTAAGGGGATTTTTGGGGATGTTTTAAGGGATATTTTGGGGATGTTTTAAGGGATATTTTTGGGGTATTTGGGGACGTTTTAAGGGATATTTTGGGATTTTTTTGGGGGAATTCTGGGGATGTTTTAAGGGACACTTTGGGGATGTTTTAAGGGATATTTTGGGTATATTTTGGGGATTTTTAAGGGAATTTTTGGGGATGTTCTTAGGGATATTTTGGGGATATTTTGGGATGTTTTAAGGGACATTTTGGGGATATTTTGGGATTTTTTTGGGGAATTCTGGGGGTGTTTTAAGGGACACTTTGGGGATGTCTGGGGGATGTTGTAAGGGACATTTTGGGTTGCTTTTGGCCCGTTTTGGGTGCTGACTGAGCCCTTTCCCCAGGCCCTACGTGCGCTCCAAGGGACCCAAGTTCGAGCGCGCCCGAGGCCGCCGCGCCAGCAGGGGCTACAAGAACTGAGCCCCCTCCCCAAATAAACGGGGCCGGGGGCAGCCCCCTCCCCCAGACCTTCCTTCTGCCTCCGTGTCTGCTGAATGCAAAAAAAAAACCGAGAAAAAACCACAAAACCACCCCAAAAAAACCCCAAGAAAAACGCAGAAAGCACTCCAAAAATAAACAAAAATCCCCCAAGAAAAACACAAAAAAAAACCCACAGAAAAGCCCCAAAAATAAACCAAAAAACGCCCAAGGAAAACGCTGAGAAGTACCCGAAAATATTTCAAAATGTAGAGAAAAGTCCCTGTAAAAAAACCCCAAAACCACCCCAAAAATACCCCGAGAAAAACCCTGAAAATCCCCCCAAAAAAACTCCTGTGGAAAACACCAAAAATGCTCAAAAAAAAAAATCATGAGAAAAACCCCAAAACCTCCAAAACAATCCCATAAACCTCCCAGGAAAAAACCCAAAACCACCCCAAAAAACCCCTGAAAATGCCCCAAAAACACCCCGAGGAAAACCCTGAAACTGCCCCAAAAAATACAGAGAAAAAACCCCAAAACTGCCCAAAAAAACCCAAAAACGCTCCATAAAAACCCATGAAAAACTCTAAAAATGTCCCAAAAAACCCCGAGACAAACCCCCGAAAATGCATCCAAAAAAACCCAGAAGCACCCCAAAAAAAACCCCAAGAAAAACCCTGAAACCGCCCCAAAAAATTTGGGGATGTTTTAAGGGATATTTTGGGGATGTTTTAAGGGATATTTTTGGGGTATTTGGGGACGTTTTAAGGGATATTTTGGGATTTTTTTGGGGGAATTCTGGGGATGTTTTAAGGGACACTTTGGGGATGTTTTAAGGGATATTTTGGGTATATTTTGGGGATTTTTAAGGGAATTTTTGGGGATGTTCTTAGGGATATTTTGGGGATATTTTGGGATGTTTTAAGGGACATTTTGGGGATATTTTGGGATTTTTTTGGGGAATTCTGGGGGTGTTTTAAGGGACACTTTGGGGATGTCTGGGGGATGTTGTAAGGGACATTTTGGGTTGCTTTTGGCCCGTTTTGGGTGCTGACTGAGCCCTTTCCCCAGGCCCTACGTGCGCTCCAAGGGACCCAAGTTCGAGCGCGCCCGAGGCCGCCGCGCCAGCAGGGGCTACAAGAACTGAGCCCCCTCCCCAAATAAACGGGGCCGGGGGCAGCCCCCTCCCCCAGACCTTCCTTCTGCCTCCGTGTCTGCTGAATGCAAAAAAAAAACCGAGAAAAAACCACAAAACCACCCCAAAAAAACCCCAAGAAAAACGCAGAAAGCACTCCAAAAATAAACAAAAATCCCCCAAGAAAAACACAAAAAAAAACCCACAGAAAAGCCCCAAAAATAAACCAAAAAACGCCCAAGGAAAACGCTGAGAAGTACCCGAAAATATTTCAAAATGTAGAGAAAAGTCCCTGTAAAAAAACCCCAAAACCACCCCAAAAATACCCCGAGAAAAACCCTGAAAATCCCCCCAAAAAAACTCCTGTGGAAAACACCAAAAATGCTCAAAAAAAAAAATCATGAGAAAAACCCCAAAACCTCCAAAACAATCCCATAAACCTCCCAGGAAAAAACCCAAAACCACCCCAAAAAACCCCTGAAAATGCCCCAAAAACACCCCGAGGAAAACCCTGAAACTGCCCCAAAAAATACAGAGAAAAAACCCCAAAACTGCCCAAAAAAACCCAAAAACGCTCCATAAAAACCCATGAAAAACTCTAAAAATGTCCCAAAAAACCCCGAGACAAACCCCCGAAAATGCATCCAAAAAAACCCAGAAGCACCCCAAAAAAAACCCCAAGAAAAACCCTGAAACCGCCCCAAAAAAACCTGAGAAAAATCCCAAAAATACACCCAGAAAAACCTGGTAAAAAAACCCCAAAATGCCCCAAGGAACCCTGAAAATGCCCCAAAAAAACTTGGAGGAAAAACCCCAAAAATGCCCCAAAAAAACTCCTGTGGAAAACCCCAAAACCACCCCAAAAAAAATCCCCAGAGATGAATCCTGAAACTGCCCCAAAAAGCCCCAAAACCACCCAAGAAAACCACTGAAACTGCCCCAAAAATGCCCAAAAAATGCCTGAAACCACCTCAAAAAACCCTGGAAATACTTCAAAAAACCCAAAAAATGCCCAAAAAACGCCCAAGAAAAACCCTGAAACTGCCCCAAAAAAAAACCCCAAACAAAACCCGAAAATGCCCCAAACCCTCTTTTTTCCCCCAAAAAAACCTTTTATTTTTCTCCAAAATTTCCTTTTTTTCCCCTTTTAAAACCCTTTTTTGTGTCTAAACCCCTTTTTTTCTTTTAAAAAATCCCTTTTTTAACCCTCTAAAAATCCGATTTTTTCCCCCAAAAACCTCCTTTTTTTTTCTCTAAAACTCCTTTTTTGTCCCCAAAAACCCCCTTTTTTTCCCTCCCCAAACCCCCATTTTTCCCTCTCTAAAAATCCTTTTTTTCCCCAAAAACTTCTTTTTTTTACCCTTTTAAAAACCTTTTTTCCATCTAAACCCCCTTTTTCCCCCCAAAAAAAACCACTTTTTTTTTATCCTGTAAAAATCAAATTTTTCCCCAAAAACCTCTTTTTGTTTTTTCCTCTAAAACCAGTTTTTTCCCCAAAAAAACCCTCAATTATTTCCCAAAAAAAATCCCTTTTTTTGCTTCTCTAAAACCCCCATTTTTCCCCCAAAAAATCCTTTTATTTCCCCTCTAAAAACCCCATTTTTTCCCCAAAACAAAATCCCATTTTTCCCACAAAACCCCCATTTTTTTCCCCAAAAACCCCACATTTTTTTCCCTCTAAAAATCCTTTTTTCCCCCCAAATTTTTTCCTTTTATTTCTCCTCTAAAAACCCCATTTTTTCCCCAAAACAAAATCCCATTTTTCCCACAAAACCCCCATTTTTTTCCCCAAAAACCCCACATTTTTTTCCCTCTAAAAATCCTTTTTTCCCCCCAAATTTTTTCCTTTTATTTCTCCTCTAAAAATCCCATTTTTTCCCCCAAAAATTCCCATTTTTCCCCCAAAATTCCCATTTTTTCCCCCAAAATTCCCATTTTTCCCCAAAATTCCCATTTTTTTCCCCAAAATTCCCATTTTTTCCCCCAAAATTCCCATTTTTCCCCAAAATTCCCATTTTTTCCCCAAAATTCCCATTTTTCCCCAAGCAAACTCCACCTTTTGGGGGGGATTCTCTTTATTGCCCCTCCCTCCCCCGCCCGCCTTTGGTTTATTTGGGGATTTTTTGGGTTTTTTTGGTTTATTTTTGTTGATTTTTGTGTTTTTGGGGGTTGTTTTGGGTTGATTTTTGGGTTTTTTGGGGTTTTTGGGGTTTTTCCTCATTTTTTGGGCTCGTACTGGATCAGGCGCATGATGGCGTCGTTCTTCATCACGCCCTCGATGAACTCGGCCTCGGCGATCTTGTCTGGGGAGAAAAACGGCAAATTTGGGTCAAAACCGGCGATTTTCGGTTAAAAACTGAAATTTTGGGGTCAAAACCGGCAAATTTGGGTCAAAAAGGGCGATTTTGGGTTAAAAAAATGGTGATTTGGGGGCAAAAAACGGTGGTTTTGGGTTAAACACTGCAAATTTGGGTTAAAAACTGAAATTTTGGGTTAAAAACACCCTCGATGAACTCGGCCTCGGCGATCTTGTCTGGGGAGAAAAACGGCAAATTTGGGTCAAAAATGGCGATTTTCGGTTAAAAACGGCGAGTTTGGGTCAAAAAGGGCGATTTTGGGTTTAAAAAATGGTGATTTTGGGGCAAAAAACAGTGGGTTTGGGTTAAACACGGCAAATTTGGGTTAAAAACTGAAATTCTGGGTTAAAAACAGCTATTTTGGGTTAAAAACGGCAATTTTGGGGTCAAAAATGGCAAATTTGGGTCAAAAAGGGTGATTTTGGGTTAAAAAATTGTGATTTTGGGGCAAAAAAACCGGCGATTTTGGGTGAAACACGGCAAATTTGGGTTTAAAAAAATGGCAGGTTTGGGTTATAATGGGGTGATTTTGGGTGAAAACTGTGATTTTTGGGTTAAAAACGGTGATTTGGGGTTTTAAAATGGCAATTTTGGGGCAAAAAAAAGGCAATTTGGGGTTAAAATAATGGCGATTTTGGGTTAAAACCGGAAAATTTGGGGTAAAAACGGAAAATTTGGGTTTAAAAGGGGATTTTGGGTTTAAACAACGGTGATTTTGGGGCAAAAAAAAGTGGGTTTGGATTTAAATACGGTGATTTTGGGTTTAAAAGGGGATTGTGGGTTAAAAATTGTAAAAGTCTGGGTTACACAACTACAATTTTGGGTTAAAAAAATCGTGAGTTTAGATTTAAATATTGCAATTTTGGGTTAAAAAGGGGGATTTTTGGTTAAAAACGGCAAAATTGGGTCAAGAAAGGGTGAGTTTGGGTTACAAAAAACAGCGATTTTAGGTTTAGAACTCCTGATTTTGGGTTAAAAAAAACATTCTGGGTTAAAAATGGTGAGTTTGGGTTAAAAAATTGAGATTTTGGGTTTAAAAACGGCAATTTTGGATTCAAAACCAGCGATTTGAGATTAAAAAAAGGTGAGTTTGGGTTTGGGGTGAGAAAAGGGGATTTGGGGGTTGGGGAGGGGTCCCGGATTTGGGGGAGTCTGGGGCCACTGTGGGGAGGGAGATTTGGGGCAGATTTGGGGGGATTTGGGGAGGTTTTGGGGGGTCCTCAGGGACCCTGGGGGGGGGAGGGGATGGAGGGTCAGAGCCCCTCCCCCCACGTCCCAAATCCAGGAATTCCCGGAACCCCCCGGGGCAGGAGCCCCGAATTCCTGCGGGGATCCCAAAAACCAAATCACAAAACCCCAAATCCAAAATCCCAAACCCCAAATCCGGCCCCAAACCTGAAATTATTTCTTCTCAGGATGAGCCGTTCCCACCCCAAACCCCAAATCTGGAATCCTAAACCCCAAATCCCAAACCCAAAATCCCAAATTTTCTCTCAGGATGAGCCGTTCCCACCTTAAATCTCAAACCCTAAACCCAAAATCCCAAACCCCAAATCCTGAAGCCCAAACCTCAAATCCCAAATTTCCTCTCGGGGATGAGTCGTTCCCATTCCAAATCTGTCCCCAAACCCCAGATCCTGAATCCCAAATCCAAACCCCAAATCTCCTCTCAGGATGAGCCATTTCCGCCATCCCCATCCCCAAATCCGTCCCTAAACCGGAAATTTTCCATTCCCAAACCCCAAATTTCGGATTTCCTCACCGTGATGATCTCGAGCACCTCTCCCTTGCTGACCTGTCCATTTCCACAGTCCCAAATCCAGCGAGAAGGCTGCTCCCAGACCCCAAATTCCCCATTTTTCACCCCAAACCCCCATTTCTCTCACCGTGATGATCTCGAGCACCTCTCCCTTGCTGACCTCCCCGTTCCCGACCCCAAATCTCCCATTTCTCACCCCAATTTTGGTTTTTCTCTCACCGTGATGATCTCGAGCACCTCTCCCTTGCTGACCTCCCCGTTCCCTCAATCCCAAATGTCACATTCCCATTCCCAATCCCCAAATCCCCATTTCTCACCCCAAATTTGGTTTTTCTCTCACCGTGATGATCTCGAGCACCTCTCCCTTGCTGACCTCGCTGTTCCTGACCCCAAACCCCAAATCCATCATTCCCAAACCCCAAATCTCCCATTTCTCACCCCAAATTTGGGATTTCTCTCACCGTGATGATCTCGAGCACCTCTCCCTTGCTGACCTCCCCGTTCCCGACCCCAAATCTCCCATTTCTCACCCCAATTTTGGTTTTTCTCTCACCGTGATGATCTCGAGCACCTCTCCCTTGCTGACCTCGCCGTTCCTGTCCACGTCGAACAGCGAGAACGCCCACTCCAGCTTCAGGTGGTCTTTCCCAGACGAGGTGAGGTGCAGGGCGATGATGCACCCAGGACTCCCTGACCCCAAATCCCCCATTTCTCACCCCAAATTTGGTTTTTCTCTCACCGTGATGATCTCGAGCACCTCTCCCTTGCTGACCTCGCCGTTCCTGTCCACGTCGAACAGCGAGAAGGCCCACTCGAGTTTCAGGTGGGTCTTTCCCGAGGAGGTGAGGTGCAGGGCGATGATGTACTCTGGGACTCCCAGACCCCAAATCCCCATTTCTCACCCCAAATCTCCATTTCTCACCCCAAACTCCGCCGTTCCTGACCCCAAACCCCAAATCCATCATTCCCAAACCCCAAATCTCCCATTTCTCACCCCAAATTTGGGATTTCTCTCACCGTGATGATCTCGAGCACCTCTCCCTTGCTGACCTCCCCGTTCCCGACCCCAAATCTCCCATTTCTCACCCCAATTTTGGTTTTTCTCTCACCGTGATGATCTCGAGCACCTCTCCCTTGCTGACCTCGCCGTTCCCTCAATCTCAAATGTCACATTTCCATTCCCAAACCCCAAATCCCCATTTCTCACCCCAAACTCACCGTGATGATCTCCAGCACCTCTCCCTTGCTGACCTCGCCGTTCCTGACCCCAAATCCCCATTTCTCACCCCAAATTTGGTTTTTCTCTCACCGTGATGATCTCGAGCACCTCTCCCTTGCTGACCTCGCCGTTCCTGTCCACGTCGAACAGCGAGAAGGCCCACTCGAGTTTCAGGTGGGTCTTTCCCGACGAGGTGAGGTGCAGGGCGATGATGTACTCCCGGAAGTCGAGGGTCCCGTCGTCGTTGGTGTCGAAGCTGCGGAAGACGTGGCGCGCGTAGCCCTGCGGGTCCGAGTTGGGGAAGAAGGTGCCGTAGATCTTCTCGAACTCGGCGCGGCTGATGCGGCCGTCGGGGCACTGCCGCTGGAAGCTCTCGTACCTGCCCCACACAGGGGGTTCATTCATTCAGTTATTTACTCATTTATTCATTCGTTTATTTATTTATTTATTTATTTATTTATTCATTCATTCATTTATTCATTTATTCACTCATTTATTCATTTATTTATTCATTCATTTGTTCATTTATTTATTCATTCATTCATTCATTCATTTATTCATTCATTTATTTATTCATTTATTTACTGGGGGAGGGGTGGCGGGGAGGGCAGGGATGGGCTGGTGCAGTACTTATTTTTTTATTACTATTATTATTATTATTATTATTATTATTATTATGTTTTATTATTATTTATTATTGTTGTTATTATTATTAACACATTATTATTATTACTAGGGGGAAAGGAAGGTTCTGGATCCCGAAATGAGGAAGAGGAGGAAGGCTCTGGGTTCTGGAATGAGGAGGAGGAGCGGGAGGAAGAGCTGGGGAGAAAAGGGGTCAGAGGGGGAGGGTCTGCGTCCGAAATTTGGGGGAAAAGAGGAAGATTTTGGGTCCCGAAATTTGGGGGGAAAGGAAGGTTCTGGATCCCGAAATGAGGAAGAGGAGGAAGGCTCTGGGTTCTGGAATGAGGAGGAGGAGCGGGAGGAAGAGCTGGGGGGGCAGAAAAGGGGTCAGGGGGTCCCCAAACTGGGGGGAAGAGGAAGAGTTTGGGTCCCGAAATTTGGGGGAAAAGGAAGGTTCTGGATCCCGAAATGAGGAGGAGGAGGAGGAGGAGGAGGAGCGGGAGGAAGAGCTGGGGCAGAAAAGGGGTCAGAGGGGGAGGGTCTGCGTCCGAAATTTGGGGGAAAAGAGGAAGAGTTTGGGTCTTGAAATGAGGAGGAGGAAGGTTTTGGGTCCCAAAATGGATCCAAAGAGGATCCCAGAGGAGGAAGGTTCTGGAATGAGGAGGAGGAAGGTTCTGGGTCACGGAAATTGGGGGAGGAAGGTTCTGGATCCCAAAATGAGGAGGAAGAGGAGGGGGAGGAGGAAGAGCTGGGGCAGAAAAAGGGTCAGAGGGGTCCTGAAATTTGGGGGAAAAGAGGAAGATTTTGGGTCCCAAAATTTGGGGGAAAAGGAAGGTCCTGGATCCCAAAATGAGGAAGATTTTGGGTCCTGGAATGAGGAGGAAGGTTCTCGATCCTGGAATGAGGAGGAGGAGGAGGAAGGTTCTGGGTTCTGGAATGAGGATGAGGAAGGTTTTGGGTCCCGGAATTTGGGTGAGGAAGGTTCTGGGTCTGGAAATGAGGATGAGGAAGGTCTGGGGTGCCAGGAGGAGGAGGAGGAGGAGGAAGGTCCTGGAAGTCGGAGAAATGAGGATGAGGAAGGTCCTGGAGCCCCAGAGAGAGGCAGAGGAAGATCCCGGGCGGCCGAAAGCGAGGCTGAAGATCTCACACCCAAAAATGAGGAAGAGGAAGGTCCCGAACCCCAAAATGGGGAGGAAGAGGAGGAGGAGGAAGATCCCGAACCCCCAAAACTGAGGATGAGGAAGGTCCCGGACACAGAACCGAGGCCGAAGACCCCCCCAGGAAAGAGGATGAGGATGAGGAAGGTGCCGGAACCCCGAGAGCGAGGCCGAAGAACGTTCCAGAACCCCCGGAGGAGGATGAGGATGAGGATGAGGATGAGGATGTCCCGAAATTTGGGGGAAAAGAGGAAGAGTTTGGGTCCCGAAATTTGGGGGAAAAGAGGAAGAGTTTGGGTCCCGAAATTTGGGGGAAAAGAGGAAGAGTTTGGGTCCCGAAATTTGGGGGAAAAGAGGAAGAGTTTGGGTCCCGAAATTTGGGGGAAAAGGAAGGTTCTGGATCCCGAAATGAGGAGGAGGAGGAGGAGGAGGAGGAGCGGGAGGAAGAGCTGGGGGGGCAGAAAAGGGGTCAGGGGGTCCCCAAACTGGGGGGAAGAGGAAGAGTTTGGGTCCCGAAATTTGGGGGAAAAGGAAGGTTCTGGATCCCGAAATGAGGAGGAGGAGGAGGAGGAGGAGGAGCGGGAGGAAGAGCTGGGGCAGAAAAGGGGTCAGAGGGGGAGGGTCTGCGTCCGAAATTTGGGGGAAAAGAGGAAGAGTTTGGGTCTTGAAATGAGGAGGAGGAAGGTTTTGGGTCCCAAAATGGATCCAAAGAGGATCCCAGAGGAGGAAGGTTCTGGAATGAGGAGGAGGAAGGTTCTGGGTCACGGAAATTGGGGGAGGAAGGTTCTGGATCCCAAAATGAGGAGGAAGAGGAGGGGGAGGAGGAAGAGCTGGGGCAGAAAAAGGGTCAGAGGGGTCCTGAAATTTGGGGGAAAAGAGGAAGATTTTGGGTCCCAAAATTTGGGGGAAAAGGAAGGTCCTGGATCCCAAAATGAGGAAGATTTTGGGTCCTGGAATGAGGAGGAAGGTTCTCGATCCTGGAATGAGGAGGAGGAGGAGGAAGGTTCTGGGTTCTGGAATGAGGATGAGGAAGGTTTTGGGTCCCGGAATTTGGGTGAGGAAGGTTCTGGGTCTGGAAATGAGGATGAGGAAGGTCTGGGGTGCCAGGAGGAGGAGGAGGAGGAGGAAGGTCCTGGAAGAGCTGGGGCAGAAAAGGGGTCAGAGGGGGAGGGTCTGCGTCCGAAATTTGGGGGAAAAGAGGAAGAGTTTGGGTCCCGAAATTTGGGGGAAAAGGAAGGTTCTGGATCCCGAAATGAGGAGGAGGAGGAGGAGGAGGAGGAGCGGGAGGAAGAGCTGGGGCAGAAAAGGGGTCAGAGGGGGAGGGTCTGCGTCCGAAATTTGGGGGAAAAGAGGAAGAGTTTGGGTCTTGAAATGAGGAGGAGGAAGGTTTTGGGTCCCAAAATGGATCCAAAGAGGATCCCAGAGGAGGAAGGTTCTGGAATGAGGAGGAGGAAGGTTCTGGGTCACGGAAATTGGGGGAGGAAGGTTCTGGATCTCGAAATGAGGAGGAGGAGGAAGGCTCTGGGTTCTGGAAATGAGGAGGAGGAGGAGGAGGAGGAAGAGCTGGGGCAGAAAAAGGGTCAGAGGGTCCTGAAATCTGGGGGAAAAGAGGAAGAGTTTGGGTCTGGGAATGAGGAGGAGGAAGGTCTGGGGTGCCAGGAGGAGGAGGAGGAGGAAGGTCCTGGAAGTCGGAGAAATGAGGATGAGGAAGGTCCTGGAGCCCCAAAATGAGGAGGAAGAGGAGGAGGAGGAAGATCCTGAACCCCCAAAACTGAGGACAAGGAGGAGGAGGAGGAGGAAGATCTCAAACCCAAAACTTGAGGAGGAACAGGGGGGGACAGGTGTGCCCAGGTGTGCCCAGGTTCCATCCAGGTGTGCCCAGGTGAGCTCTGGCCATGCCCAGGTGTGCCCAGGTGAATCCTGGGACTGCCCAGGTGAGCCCAGGTGTGCCCAGCTAAGGCCCAGGTGAGCTCTGGCCACGCCCAGGTGTCCCCGTGTCCCATCCAGGTGTGCCCAGGTCCTGCCCAGGTGTCCCCCAGGTGTGCCCAGGTGACCCCGCCCCTCCCCAGGTGAGCCCAGGTGTGCCCATGTCCATCCCCAGCTGTGCCCACAGCCCACCCAGGTGTGCCCAGGTGTCCCTGTGTCCCATCCAGGTGTGCCCAGGTGAGCCCCAGGTGTGCCCAGGTCCCACCCAGGTGTGCCCAGGTGACCCCGCCCCTCCCCAGGTGAGCCCAGGTGTGCCCATGTCCATCCCCAGCTGTGCCCACAGCCCACCCAGGTGTGCCCAGGTGAGCCCCACCCATCCCAGGTGTGCCCAGGTGACCCCGCCCCTCCCCAGGTGAGCCCAGGTGTGCCCATGTCCATCCCCAGCTGTGCCCAGAGCCCATCCAGGTGTGCCCAGGTGTCCTCAGGTGTGCCCAGGTGAGCCCCAGGTGCTTCCAGGTGTGCCCCACCCATCCCAGGTGTGCCCAGGTGAGCTCTGGGCCTGCCCAGGCGTGACCAGGTCCCATCCAGGTGTGCCCATGTCCTGTCCAGGTGAGCCCCAGGTGTCCCCAGATCCCACCCAGGGGTTCTCAGGTGAGCCCAGGTGAGCTCCGCCCATGCCCAGGTGCCCCTGCCCCTCCCCAGGCGTGCCCAGGTGAATTTTGGGACTGCCCAGTTGTGCCCAGCTGTTCCCATGTCCCGCCCAGGTGTGCCCAGGTGAGCTCAGGTGTGCCCATGTCCTGCCCAGGTGAGGTCAGGTGAGCTCAGGTGTGCCCAGGTCCCACCCAGGGGTTCTCAGGTGTACTCAGGTCCTGTCCAGGTGAGCCCCAGGTGTGCCCTGCCGATCCAGGTGTGCCCAGGTGAGCCCCAGGTGCTTCCAGGTGTGCCCTGCCCATCCCAGGTGTGCCCAGGTGAGCCTCAGGTGTGCCCAGGTCCCATCCAGGTGTGCCCAGGTGAATTTTGGGCCCACCCAGGTGAGTGCCCATGTCCTGCCCAGGTGAGGTCAGGTGAGCTCAGGTGTGCCCAGGTCCCACCCAGGGGTTCTCAGGTGTACTCAGGTCCTGTCCAGGTGAACCCCAGGTGCATTTTGGGACTGCCCAGGTGTGCCCAGGTGCCCCCACCCCTCTCCAGGTGAGCTCTGCCCCTGCCCAGCTGTGCCCAGGTCCCATCCAGGTGTGCCCAGGTGAATTTTGGGCCCGCCCAGGTGTGCCCAGATCCAGCCCAGGTGTGCCCAGGTCCCATCCAGGTGAGCTCAGGTGTGCCCCAGGTGTGCCCAGGTGAGCTCTGGCCACGCCCAGGTGTCCCCGCCCCTCCCCCCAGGTGTCCCCTGGGTCTGGGAGCCCCAAATTGAGTCTGGGGTCCCTCCAATGCAGTCAGCCCCCTCCCCAATGGAATCTGGGGTCCCCAAATTGAGTCTGGGGTTGCCTAAATGGAGTCTGGGGTCTCTGAAATGGAGTCAGCCCCCTCCCCAGTTGGGTCTGGGAGCTCCAAATTGAGTCTGGGGTCTCTCAAGTCGAGTCAGCCCCCTCCCCAGTGGGGCCTGGGGTCCCCCAGCCCCTCCCCGAATTGGGTCTGGGGTCTCTGAAATGGAGTCAGCCCCCTCCCCAATGGAGTCAGCCCCCTCCCCAGTTGGGTCCGGGGTCCCCGAGTTGGGACTGGGGTCTCTGAAATGGAGTCAGCCCCCTCCCCAGTGGGGTCTGGGGTCCCCAAATTGAGTCTGGGAGCTCCAAATTGAGACTGGGGTCTCTCAAGTTGGGTCAGCCCCCTCCCCAGCAGAGTCAGCCCCCTCCCCAAATTCAGTCTGGGAGCCCCAAATCGAGTCTGGGAGCTCCAAATTGAGTCTGGGGTCTCTGAAATGGAGTCAGCCCCCTCCCCAGTGGGGTCTGGGTCCCCGAGTTGGGTCTGGGAGGTCTCAGCCCCCTCCCCAAATTCAGTCTGGGAGCCCCAAATCGAGTCTGGGAGCTCCAAATTGAGTCTGGGGTCTCTCAAGTTGGGTCAGCCCCCTCCCCAATGGAGTCAGCCCGCTCCCCAGTGGGGTCTGGGTCCCCCAATTGAGTCTGGGGTCTCTGAAATCGGGTCAGCCCCCTCCCCAATGGAGTCAGCCCCCTCCCCAGTGGGGTCTGGGTCCCCGAATTGAGTCTGGGGTCTCTCAAATCGGGTCAGCCCCCTCCCCAGTGGAGTCAGCCCCCTCCCCAGTGGGGTCTGGGGTCCCCCAGCCCCTCCCCGAATTGGGTCTGGGGTCTCTGAAATGGAGTCAGCCCCCTCCCCAGTGGGGCCCGGGGTCCCCCAGCCCCTCCCCGAATTGGGTCTGGGGTCTCAGAGGCGGCGCAGGGCCCTTTTCTTGTCGCCCTTTTTCTTGGCCGGCGCCTTCCTGTCGCCGGCGTGCTTTTTGGGGAGGGGTCCCTCGGGCGGGGCCGAGGGCCCGGGGGGCGCCGCGGGGATTGGGGAGGGGTCCCTGGGGAGGGGGCCGCGCGCGTGGATGTCGGTGAGCAGCCGCGCGCGCGCCGCGAAGCGCTCGAAGTCCTCGAGCAGCAGCCGCGCCGCCTCCTCGTTCAGCGCCGACTCGGGGTTGGGCTGGATCAGCAGGCACTTGATGGTCTGGGGGAGGGGCGGGGGGCGTCAGGGGCGCAGCCCCAGCTCGGCTCCCCAGTCCCTCCCAGTCCCTCCCAGTGCTCCCAGTCTGACCAGCAGCACGTGGCGCAGCCCCAGCTCCGCTCCCCAGTCCCTCCCAGTGCTCCCAGTCTGACCAGCAGCACGTGGCGCAGCCCCAGCTCCGCTCCCCAGTCCCTCCCAGTGCTCCCAGTCTGACCAGCAGCACGTGGCGCAGCCCCAGCTCGGCTCTCCAGTCCCTCTTGAGCACGTTGACGCAGATCTCCCCGCCCGGGCCCACGTTGGGGTGGAAAATCTTGGTCAGGAAGAATCCCTTGGGGGGCGCGGCCGGGAAGTCCTTGCCCAGCACCAGCTTCATGCGGAACACGCCCCCGGCGTAGGGGGTGCCCTCTGGAACCCCAAAAACGGGGGGTTAGAAACCCCAAAAATAGATAAAATCCACCCCAAAAACACCCACAGGCCCCCGGCGTACGGGGTGCCCTCTAAAGCACAAAAACTGGGAGTTACAGACCCTAAAAAACCTTAAAAATCTAAAAAAACACCCCAAAAACACCCACAGACCCCTGGCGTACGGGGTGCCCTCTGGAACCCCGAAAACGGGGGGTCAGGGACCCCCAAATCCCCTCAAAATTTGCCTCAAATCCCCCCAGTGGCTCCCAGGGCTGCTGGGAACTGGATTTGGGGGGGGG